AATAGCGAAAAAAATGCAACCGAACAACAAGGAGGCACCCTCAGCCTAACCAACCACACAGCAACCCAAGGACCAAAACGAGGAGAAAAAGAAAACAGACCACCCAGGCCAACGACCAGGACGGCACCGGAAAATCAAGAGCAGGCCAGAGGTGAAACAACACCCAAGACAGCAAGCAGAACGGAGCAGAAAGAATTGGAAGCCACACCGAACGCAAGCTGGAGCGGCTCTGCCAGCATCACCCAAGACGAGGCGACAGTACACGGTCCCAGACGACAGTCCTGGAACAACCCCAAAGGGAAGACAAGCCAACCTTATCAGAGACAGAAGGACCCTTTGCAGTGATAGGAAAACCGGAAGGACTGCCAGGAAAACTACACACCGCCTCCGAGACGAAGCACGCAGGCAGGAGACCAACAACAAAGCCACCAGTGCCCACACAAGCGACGAGAACTAGAGACAAAAACCTGAGATGCGAAAACCCAAGGGGAAGAACGAACCAGCCCTGTAGAGAGCTGGACCGATCCGCAAAAAGAGACGGAGCCGCGGTAAGACCCACAGGACCGGAACTGAGGAAGGCAGCAGGTCCTGCCAGGCAGGCAAAACCAAAATGAACAGCCGCCAGGGAACAAGGAACCCAATCCCAGCGAGCTGAAAAGGATCCAACCCGGGCGGGCAGAAACGCCCTGCCCAGGAGGAACCCCCCCTCCCCCCAGGATCCCTGAAAAACATACCAAGGCCAAACACCAAGGAGCCAGGCCCAGGCAGAGGCCAACGAGGAAAACAAGCACCATGAACGAAGGCGCGAGACGCGAAACGAAAACAGCGACCCCGCAACCCAAAGGAGCAGCGCAACCAGCTCCAGCAGGGAAGAACGACGCACGCGTCCCCAAAGTATCCATGAGGAGAACTACACAGGACGTGAACCGCAGGAAAACAAAAAAAAAATACGTTCCGGAAAAGGAACAAAAAAAGTTGGAGCCAGGATCGGAATCCCAGCTACCCGTCCCAAGAAAAGGAACCAGTAAGGCAGGAGCAGTGCACCGAAAGTCCACAACCCTCCCCCCCCCCCCACAGACAGTGCAACACAAAAGCCTACAGTGAGATACAAAGTAAAAGTGAAGGAACTCAGTACCCAAAGTGAACACTGAGGTAGTTCAAAAGCAAGGAACTGAACATGGACAGAGTCCCATCTGAGAATCCAAGATCAGTATAGCCAAAAAGCACCAACCAAGATACACAGTCAAGTGTAGCATAGGAGGAGGAAAAACAGAAAAAGGCCAGGAAAACCTCCAAATACGGACCAAGCAGGAGCCGGTAAGGCAATGAACACGACCAACCACAATATGTGTAGTGGAAGGTGCATATACACCGAGGGACACAACGGATAACAGGGTGCAGCCAGGCACCGAAGATAGGCAAGGAATGAGTGTTTAGAGATCAGAGACGAAGCAATGAAGGAGGACACAAACAAGGACGCGTCCAAATATAGGGAAAAGACCCAGGTGCCGAAAAATTAAACAAAAAGCACCGAAATGCGGGGCATTGCCCCACAGAACAATGAAGACCAAGATACACGAACAAAGGAAAGTCACTGAAGACACACGCAAGGTGTCCAAGCAAAACACACAACACCCCTGTTAGGAGCCATAGACACAACCCTGCCAAGCGGGGAAGTGACAGAGTAAACAAGGATCGAGTAGCGACCAAGGGTGGTACATGCACAAGGGCACACAGGAGGAAACCGAGTATCCAAACGAGCCACAGACATTAAAAAAAAACGGATCAATGTCAGAGGAGGTAGGAAATGGAAGGCACTAAGAAGCAAAGTGGTGGAGGCAGACACCACATATAGGAGCAAATGCAGAGAAGAGCCCAGTAGGCTCTAGAAACCGCACACCTGTCGAACGACAGTAGAGGAGCGGGACCAAAGAGCCAGAGCTCAACACCAGCAAGCACAACTAGGCAAGCACCCCACCAAAAGTTGAGAACCAGCACCTGGCCGACAGTGTCGCCAGACAGGACAATCTCACCTGTAGAGCGGAGACAACCATGCCACAACACAGTCGAGTCAAGTAACATACCAGGAGCATCGCTAGTGGTGTGCCCGAAATGCCATGCGTACCAGAGGCTGTAGGCATTGTATGTACTGTGACCCCGAATAAAAATTTGAAGTCGAAGGTGAAATATGTCCAGAATTGCGCATTCAGCAGAAGACGAGGTGCAGTACAGAGGTGGAGGTGGCGCCACTCTGAGCCACCCCACACCCGGAAGCAGAGAAAAGAACGAAGGGACATTCCCCCATATAAAATCCGGAACACCTCCCGCATTGAGAGGGGCTACGACTGGAGAGAGAAAACAAGTAAGAAGCCGTAGAAAACTGCGATTAACGATGCGGAACATACGAGTACACTGCCCAGAAACAAAACAAACACCCCGGCCCCAGCGTGTGAGGTACGAACCGCATCACCCATCTACCGAACGGCATGGCTCGTACACCAGGCGGACAGACACATATCGTACATACACATAACGTACAGACACACAGAATACACACATCGTACAAACACCAGGAAGGCGTATGTAACAAATATGAAGAACGTCGAAACAGATAGGAGATGATGATGTGAAAACAAAAGGTGAAACAGAAGCGAAAGAAGACAAGGAGGACGGAAGGGAACCAACGAATCTGAAAAAGGACCAGAGGGAAACCGAACCAGAAGTCAACAGACGTTCCAAGAATATTGGAAGGTACAAAGAGGTTCGCGAACTAGGTACAAAGAGGTTCACGAACTAACGAGAATCACAACAAGCACAAATGCACAGAGGTCGAAACAAAAAGGACAAAAAGAAACCGCCCTGATCAAGAGACATACCAGGACCCCGATACGAAGGGATCCACATTGCGACGTAAGCGCGAAAAAGGTGTTGAAGAGGGGGCGAAACAAATTCCCAGGAATGACGGGACCGACAGACCCGAAGGGACACGGAACCGAACCCAGGGAGGGGTAGACCTGAAACCAACACGAATGCAGAAGGGGGAGGAACAACCCCAATCTGAGGAACTGCAAGCCCCGCACCGAGGGTACAAAGACCCAAGCGGGGTAAAACGGGGCCAAGCCACAGACCCAGGGCCGAGCCGCACCCTCAAAGACCCAGCTTCACAAGGAAAAGCCGGGGCAGCCGTACAAACACTAAGGAAGGGTGGTACTGGTCAGGCCCATACGGCACGGCTGGAGGAACAGGCTCGAATGCCTCCGCCACCACCCCGGAAAAGGATAACCCCCAAGACCGCCCAAGTCTCAGCCCAACCAGACCCTGCCCCAACCCCGAAACCCGCCTACGGTTCGGAGCCGGAAGCAAGGGAGAAAGTGTGCGCAACAGAAGGGGAAGGACTAGGAGCGGAAGGAGCCAAAGCCGAAGCGACCCCCACTCCAAATCCGCCTACAACCAAAACGAGGCAGCCTCGGAGCATCCGGGGCCGCAACTAACCAAGAGCATTGCAGCAACCCCAACCTAGCATGCAACGCCGCAGCCGCCTGCACCCGCTTATCATGACCAGTGGTCTGGGTGAATGAGAGCACGTACAGACAACACCCGTCGCACGATTCTGGGTCATAAGAAAACAACAACCCAACAGGCAGCATGGCGGAGGCACAACCGGTGAGTGTCACCCGGAGACAAGGGAACAGATCAACCTACAAACTCGCAAGACACGAGGGGGGGTACTCAGGGGGTTACATCCATAGGACCACAGAGCCCTCATGGGGTTTTCCAGGGCCTTTAGCCTTGGTAACACGGTAAGGGAAGCCCAGGCAGGGTACTGCGAACCGGCACCCAAGTCTACCAAACAACCTTCTAAAAGCTGAACCCCCGAGACGTGTCCACTCACAGGGGCCATATGCAGGGAGGACCACCAACAGAAATATCTATATAAAACTCCAAGAACGGCAAAAGAGGGACCACAAAGGCAGACCCCCCCACCAGGCAAAAACAAAAACAAAAGAAAAACCCCGCAAGAGAACAACGTACCCAGACGGAACAGAGCCGGCCGCTGTTATTGGTGAAAAATAGCTGTGCAGCACCCTGCGCCCCTACCAGTGACAAAAACTACCTCCTACCCAGAGACAAAACAAGGGCAACAAAGCCCCAGCCGACTCCAAGGGCAGCCTAGTACCAAGCAGTAAAGGACACAGCTGAGGTAGAACCCAAGGTGACTTGTGGAAGGTGGCCCCAAGCCCCAAGGGCAGTACTTACAGGGCACCTAGGGAAAGAGAGCCTTAGGTGTATGCAGCCCGAGTACCGTGGAATCTTACTCCTGGCTCACACCCCACCACTAGAGACAGTCCACACCACAAGGCACAGAACTGAAACAAAAACCGGAGCCAGAGGCACTCGACCGGCCAGTAATTCCATCAGTCAAGAACTTCCAGATGGATTGTCGGCACGGATGGTCTGGAGCTCTCCCTTCCACCTCCCTGGGAGGGGGGATTGCGCAGACGGTGGCACGGCGACGTGATGACGTCATGCTAGTTTGATAATTTAGTTTGGGGAGTTCTGTCCACTCGTTCATCTTTCGGTAGCAATATTTTCACCAGAATAGGGGTTTGTTTTGGAGCGCCTACCTTTCTGGGTGCCTGTCCTGGGCGATGGCAGACAGAATGCTCCCAACCACAGGGGGGTTTCTATAGGCCATTGCTCCTCGTGCCTCTGTGAGGGGGCCAGGTTCTGGCTTGTGGTCCCCAGTAGGCAAGAACTCCAAGCATTTTGACTGATGCCAGAAAGTTATACATATCCATCCAGCCTGGATAGCTCCAGGGAGCCGACGGGGCTCCCCCCAGAAAAATTATTTATGAAACAAGCCATTTTCCTATGTAAAATAAGGCATGAATATTTTAACTTTAAACTTATGGAGATATAATTTATTAAAAGTAAGGACAAATATAAAAGAAATAAAGAAATGTTTCATGTTAAAATAAGAAAACCTTTCGTAACCTTACGCAATATATGTGCAAACTGATGATGGCCTTGGGGGTGGTGACCATTTGTATGCAGATGATTAGTGACAGGTGGTGGTAGTGACCCTGTAAAGAATTTTTATAAGCTTTGCATTATTATGAGCCATACCCCTACTTTTCTTTGTTTAACAAAAAAGTTGTGGCTAATTTTCATGTTAATACAGTATTTCCCACAAAAATTTCTCTTAAACACTCACGACTCTCTTCATTGAGCTCCAGCTTGGGTGCCCACACCAGCAAGGCTCTCTCTGGACACTGCTCTGGACGACGCTCTAGAAAAAATTAAATGTCACATGCACCTTTCTGTAGACTGCATTTTATGACTATTCCTGCCATTAAAGAAACAATAGAGTAAAATATGATGAAAACATATACTGTACAGTATTTCAAACTACAGAACAAGCGAGAGAGATACATAATAATCTACAGGTGGAAGATATTAGAAGAACTGGTTCCAAATCTGAACACAGAAATAACATCACATGAGATCAGTAGGCATAGTGGGATGTGCAAAATACCCCTGTTAGAGCACAGGTGCAATAGGTATGCTGAGTGAGAACTTAATGATCATCAAGGGCCCAAGGCTTTTCATTTTCAACACACTCCCGCTACACGTAAGAAACAACTAGCCGGCCTATCACAGTATTCAAGAGAGAACTCAACAAACACCTCCAAAGAATACCTGATCAACCAGGCTGTGATTCATACATCAGGCTGCAAGCAGCCGTGTCCAACAGCCCTAGTTGACCAGACGACCAACCGGGAGGCCTGGCCTGAGATGGGGTCACGGGGCCATTGATCCCCGGAAAGTCTACACAAGTTTTGTACAAGGAAAGTCTAAAGAAACTCTTTCCTTGATCACAAGGAAAGTCCTTGTGATCAAGGTAGGAAAGTTTCCTTGATCACAAGGTAGTTAGTGACAGGGTAAGCCAACAGGAAAATGGCCACCCAACCCAGGACAACCGGGAACCCCCACACCTGAACAACAAACAGCCCAGGACAAGGATGCAAGGACAGCCGAGAAATGGCAAACCTCCAAACCCCACGTGTGCGAGGATACACCACAGATTGGTAATCAAAGAAACACTGCTGACAGCCTGATAAGACAGTAGCCAACACAGCAAACTTACGAATGTCATGGGCACAAGGATAAACCGCAGGCTAGCTGGACCGAATAACCCTGCGGATGACCTGAGAGACCAGAGCCCTGGAACAGGGAAGAAGGGAAACCGGGACAACCCAAAGCGCGTCCCTGGCCACCGAAGCCGTGGCGCACAGATAATGGCTAATCGTACGCATAGGTCCAATACTGGCAGTGGTTTTTGCTTTTGATTTCACATATGTGAACAAATATTTTGGGTTTTCCTATATTTCCTGAATTGTTTTCTGTCCTAACTGCCTTTCTTCAACCTGATATGAGTGTTTAAATTTCTGCTCGATTTCTTCAATCTCCCTGTTTAAATTATACCTTCTTTGTAGGGAAAGTCCTGTCTCCTTAAGCATTTCCATTTGTTTTCCTTCTTTTATAGTGTTGTTTGCATTCTCTTTCTACGTTGGACCTCTTTCTGGCTTTCCTCAAAGGAACATGTTTCAGACAGACTTGATATGCCTCAAAAGTCTGTAGGACTTTTATTACCTAGAAAAGTTTCCCATGGAATGTTTGTAAGTTCCCTGTTTATTGTCTCCCAGTCTATCCTTTTATGATTAAAATTGAATTTACTGAATAACCCCTCTAGCTAGATATTTGTTTTAGATCTATTCTGAGCATTGATGGTAGTTTGCACTTCAATGAGCTTGTGATCTGAGTATGTGGTATCCGATATCATAATGTCCCTTCACTGTTTGTAAAGACCAGATCAAGAATATTTTCATTTCTCGTTGGCTCTGATATCTGCTGGTCGAGTGAAAATTTGTCACAGAATCTAAGCACTTCTCTACTCTGTGGTTGGTTATATCCCGATAGATTTCCAGATATAATATTATTGTTTGCTATTCTCCATCTTAGACTAGGAGTTGACATTAGTAAGGAAGACAATATCAGGTATCGGGTTCGCCAAATTATCAAGGCTATTTTCTATTTTGTTTATCTATTCTGTGAATTCCTCAGCCATTGCATCTGGCGGTTTGTTTATTAGAATAATAACCAAGTTTATTTTCTCTATTTTTACTCCCAGTACATCTATCGCCATGTAGATAAACACCGGCCGCCGTGTGATAGCAAATGCAGGCTGCCCTAGCCGCAGTGCACCCCACCAGCAAACAAACACCCCCTACCCGGGGCAAAGCAGAAAGCCCAAGACCTCTGGCCTACTCAAAGAGTGAGAACCTACAAACGAGGAAGCCCTCTAACAGGGAGTGATTCCCAAATGCCCCAGGGAAGATAACCCTGACCACGCAAGGGCAGCACTTACAGGGCACCTAGGGAAGGTGGCTCTAGGTACATGCAAGGTAATCATCATCATCTCCAAGGCACAGTAATCATCATCATCTCCAAGGCACGGTAATCATCATCATCTCCAAGGCACAGTAATCATCATCATCATCTCCAAGGCACAGTAATCATCATCATCTCCAAGGCACGGTAATCATCATCATCTCCAAGGCACAGTAATCATCATCATCTCCAAGGCACGGTAATCATCATCATCTCCAAGGCACGGTAATCATCATCATCTCCAAGGCACGGTAATCATCATCATCTCCAAGGCACGGTAATCATCATCATCTCCAAGGCACGGTAATCATCATCATCTCCAAGGCACGGTAATCATCATCATCTCCAAGGCACGGTAATCATCATCATCTCCAAGGCAAAGTAATCTTCCATACTTCTCCCATGGGTCAGCCTTTTCTGACTCTTCTGTTTTTTTGGAATCTAACCTCATCTATCAGGCTCAGTAGTAAGCTTGTTGAGCCACTGAGGAGTCTCTTCCAGAAATCAAGCATTACATGTAATAAAATGCCATTTTCTGTTTGGCTCCCAGGTTCTGCCCCATTACCTTCTTTGTCATACAGTTGGTATTTACATGGGCAGCTTCAGAGTGAAGGACAGACTAGCTGGGACCTAAGGTAACCTCTGCTGCCACTAGGTAGTTGTCTGGCGTATCACATTCTGAGCATTTACGCTGTGGTAATAAACACTCGCTATGTTTGCCTAGCCCTTAACCACTGTACTGAGCAGAGCGCCCCAAGATGCTCTGAGAGTTGTGCTATTTTTGTTATTTAGGCTATATTTTCAGGTTTTTAATGTTTTCATCACTCTTTGTGTTTTGAAATGAAAAATGGTTGAGTTTGGAAACATTTTGACATTAACATTACCTGAACATGAATAAAAACAACAAAAATGTGTCCTTGACAATTGCACTATGAAGTTTTTGCCGAAACCAGGTGCGCAGTAATTACCTAAGTGTAATTACCGAAGTGTGGTTACAGGATGAGAGCTATGCTCGAGGTGTCCCGTCTACCCAGCACTCTTTGTCATATAACACATTGAAAGTACTGACGGTTTTGGCCTCCACCACCTTCTCACCTAACTTGTTCCACTGTCTACCACTCTGTTTGCAAAAGTGAATTTTCTTATATTTCTCAGGCATCTTAGTTTAGTTAGTTTAAATCTATGACCTCTGCTTCTTGAAGTTCCAGGTCTCAGGAAATCTTCCCTATCAATTCCTGTTACTATTTTGTAGGTAGTGATCATATCTCCTTTTTCTTCTATCTTCTAGTTTTGGCATATTTAATGCATCTAACCTCTCCTTGTAGCTCTTGCCCTTCAGTTCTGGGAGCCACTTAGTAGCATGTCTTTGCATCTTTACTAGTTTGTTGAAGTGCTTCTTAAGATATGGTCACCACACAACCACTGCATATTCTAGTTTTGGCCTAACAAAAGTCGTGAACAATTTCTTTAGTATTTTTTCCATCCATGTATTTAAAAGCATTTCTGAAGTTAGAAAGCGTGACATAGGCTCCTGGCACAATGTTCTTTATGTGGTCCTCAGGTAATAGTTTTCTATCTAGAACGACCCCTAGATATCTTTCTTTATTAGAAGTCTTTAAAGACTTTCCACATAATTTATAGGTCTATGTTCTATTCCACATTCCATAACATGGCATTTATTTACATTAAATTCCATTTGCCAAGTGGTGCTCCATATATTTATTTTGTCCAGATCTTCTTGAAGGGCATTACAATCATCTAAGTTACTTATCCTTCCAAGTTATTTAACCCTTGTGTTGCTAAGGGCTATTTGGCCATTGTCACCCACAGGCACAAAACAAAACAAAAACAAAAATTCTTCTAAACCTGTTAATTTGTGTTCCTTGGTCACGGAAAAAATAATAAAAAAAATCATAAGTGGCATATTTTGCCCGCTATAGGGCGGGGAACTCTGGCAAAACACAGGCGCTGACTCAGCGTGCATCTGAGGCGGTCTGCTCAGCCCCAGCTGTCAGGCAGGAGTGGCAACAAAGAGATAATTACCTAATTATTTCAATGTCTCCGATTAATTTTTCTTCATTTTTTGCTGTAATATTATTCAATAGTGTAGTGTGATATATTTATATAATAAAATGTGTGAATCATTGCTGCACTCAAAATTATGGTGAGCATATTATTGATTCAATTATTGTGTTCATAATACAATAAGCAAATACTTTGTCAGTTATTACACCATATACACAGGTTATATATACTTATCTGCATGTTTTGTTCACCATAACGAACCACTAAGTTGGTATTATGAGTCAATAAGCAGCGAGGTGAGGCCACCACATCTGCAAGTCAGCCTCTCACCGCCACTCCCTCAATGACTCCTCACTTGCCCACATCCTCCTCCCACCATTACTGTTCTTGCTTTTATTCACTATATACAGACATTATATATAAGTATCTACATGTTCTGTTCACCATAACTGTTCATCTAAGCTGGTATAGTGCCCAAAGAGCATAGTGGCCACCCCTACCCAGTGTAACAGGAGAGCAGTACATAGTAGTACAACATGAACATCATAACAACATGAACATCATAACAGCATGAACAAGCCATGTGGAGCATGAACAACCAACAGGCGCGTCGTCAGTCAGGCGGCAGCAGACAATGGAAAAAGTTACACCTCTGTACAAGTTATCCATGGGGACAGGTCAACGGTCACCGAGTCACGAGGAGTCAGAGTTGATGCCGTCATGATAATCTACAGGGATTAACCCCCACATCAAATGCAAACCCTCATGTTCAGCTGGGAAGGAGGAGGACATGGAACAAGGACATTAGAGTGG